GACAAATAACTTTGTCGAACTCAAATACAATACGGAAATCATGCTTATTAAAAAGCGGCTCGGATACTAGGTTCTTACGGATTTCCGGCACATACAGCACATTGTTAAGAGTCGGCTCTTTTCCCGAAGTCATCTTCAGAACTACCTTACTTGTCCCTTGATTTCGGAAGTTGTTGAATTTCCCATGAACAACTTCTCTTCATTTTCAATTGCTTCAAAAGCTATAAACAGCTCTTTATCAAAGCATACATGCCTTATAGCACCGGTGTCAATCCACCACTCTTTCGGGTTTGAACCCACCATATTCACCTCAGAAATAACGGCTGCGAGATTCATCTCCGCCGCATCATGTGCCGTGTAGTAAACCACATTTGCTTCTTTCTTCTTTTTTGGCAATCTGCACTCTGAAGATTTGTGGCCTACTTTGTCACAATTGAAGCACTTTCCTTGAAATTTCTTCTTAGAAATGCCCCTTTTCGGTCCCAGCTTCGTCCCTTTTCCACGGGATGGCCCAACCTTGGTTTTGTAGCTCTTACTACTTTGATCATATTCTACAACATTGTCTTTAGCGACACCAGGATTGAACAATTTCTTTTCGAAACTCTTGTTATCTTCTTCAATTCGAAGTCTAACAATTAGTTCTTGAACGTTCATTTCCTTTTGTTTGTGATTCAAATAATTCTTGAAATCTTTCCACGCTGGGGGCAATTTTTTAATAATTGCAGTCACTTGGAAAATTTCATTCAAAATCATTCATTCGGCATGAATTTCATGAAGAATCAGCAACTTGGAAAGTTTTACTCAAAATCATCCCTCCGGCATGAATCTCGTGAAGAATCACTTCGAGTTCTCGCACTTAACTGATTACTGTTTTGGAATCCACCATCTTATAATCAAAGAATCGGCCAACAATGAACTTCTTGGCCACGACATCCTCAGTTTCATGTTTCCGGTCCAATGACTCCTATAGCTCTTTAGTAGTTTTCATAATACTATACACATTATATAGCGAATATGCTAAAATGTTCATGATGTAGTTTCGGCACAAAAAATCTGAATGTTTCCACGCATCAAGTGCACTGACAGCTTGAGCATCTCCCTCACCCTCTTGGAGTTTTGGAGCACTTTCAGTCAAGAATCTCGCAAGATTCAAGGTGGTCAGGTAAAACAACATTTTTTGCTACCACCTCTTGAAATTCAAGCCATTGAATTTCTCCAATTTTTCACCATGATTAACTGGAACAGTAGCCACAGGTTGGCTCATAACATGACTTGGGACTTTAGGCACAGTCTGAGCCATAACAGAACTAGGCCCTGTAGCCATAGCAGAGTCTACAGCCACAGTTTGAGTAGCCACAGCTTGGGACACATCCATGTTGTTGGAATCGGTTGCCATTTCTGAACGAAACAAAATATTAGTTCCTTTCAAGAATTTATTTTAAGCTTGTATGAAAATATGATAACCAGTTAACTAATAGCAGACCAACATCGAATTTATTAATCTGAATTATTAGTTTCAAAAACATAATTACAACAAAACAAAACAATAATATAAAGTACAAAAATGAACTTTTAACCCGAGGCCTATGAGAACACAGTTTCCTTAAAACAAATTCGCTCGCTCACCGTATGTGCTTGATGTTTAAAATGAGCGTCATTTCCCGTTGTACAATGGAAGATCAGTAGAGTCTGAGCACCACAGAAGCTACTCCGGCGACTGAGTTAGAGCTCGAACAATATCACCACCAGACTCAAAGAGAAACAAAAATAGAGACAGAACTTGAACTGTATGCAGATGAATATTCAGATGAATTCTTGTACTGAACACTGGAAAACATCGAGGTATATATAGACTTTGGATCTTGTAACTTGCCCACTTACTTCATGGCAATTACAACAGGAGTTTTAGGAGTTTCAACTATTTCGGAAAATGAAAAGTCAGTCGAAAAATAAAATAAAATGTAACAAAAAATAGGCTCTTCTAAGGGGCCAATTTTTTGGTCAATCTGGTCTGACATTCGTGTACACAGGTCGCTCCCGCACACAAGTTTAAGGTCCGATGTCTATTTCGGTCCATGATTTGCACCCTCTTGCGCTCGCACGTGGAGAGAGCCTCTATGTTACACATGATTACACCATTCTAAAATGCAATCCTTTGTAACGTGGTTTTAGTTTTCATCCACTTCCTATGTGGGACAAACTTAATTTTGAGTTTTCCCACCAACATAAACTCATTTCACATGGTATACTTTGAGCTTCAATTTCTCATTCACCCAATCATCATTTTTGACAAGTAAGTATATGATTTCGATGTACTCACGGAGGAGAACACAAATCAGCTTTCATATTCTAAAATAGCCAAACGGGTCCCGCTCAGAATTCGTGCTAAAGTCACCCACTTACTCAATTTTTTTATCAACACAAATTAGGTGTTTGATAGGATAAATTTTCTAGGGAATTGGTTTTCCTGGAAGCACCCTTACGCGTCCATTTTCTGGGAAGTTAGTGAATTGATTTTCTTGCCTTTTTTATTGTAAAAGTTTTTCTAGTTTTTTTTATTTTTTTATTTTGGCAATTGGAAAAAATTCTCGATACAGTAATAAATTTTTCTCACTTTTATTGATAATTTACATGTAAAACAAAGCCAAATGAATGGTAGTCGGTATGGTAATTTTTTTTCAAAATTTATTATTATTATTATTATTATTTTTGGCAATTGGAACAAATTTTAGACCCAATGGTAGAAAAAATTATCACTTTAATGGACAATTTCCATAATAAATGAAGCCAAACGGATACCAAACTTTCCACATTTTCCAAGTGAAAAATTATACCAATCAAACACAATTAATTACAATTCTCAGTAAAATAATTTCTAGACAATTCAATTACATGTAAAACATTTTCTTTCCACCCATTTTTTTTACCTTTGTAATCTGTTACGGGCCTGTGTCAGACCCGCCACCTCGCCCACCACGTGTCCGCACCGTGGCCCAAGCCACGTGTCGAACAAGGTGATTGAACGAGGGACGAGCTGATTGTACACGCCGAGGTGAGTGCATGAGGAACGAACTGAACACGCGTCAGCAAATGAACCGGACTCATCTACAAGCACGCAGTGGATGCAAAGGCCCGCACTCCGCTTCTACCACGCTGCAACGCTTCACCCGCCACACCTCGCCTCTTCAAAGATCCTTTGTACAAAGATCTTCCCAAAGTCAAATCTCTGACCGATGGGACGTGTGGCAGGCCATCAGACGGTCAAATCAGCAGCATATGTAAAATATTTAATGCCAGTCGACCTATGAAGGGACAGAGCGACACCTAGGATGGGACGAGCCTTGAAGATCCGGTAACACGTGTCTCCTCATCCAACGGCTCTTCTCATTCCATCTTTAGTATAAATATCCCCTCCTTGGGCCAAAGATGGAATTGGAATCCCATTTGCTTTCCTATATACTGCGAAATCAAGTATTATCCTTTCCCATATATTTGTCAATTTTATCGGCACTATATTGACCTTCCCCCTGGCGAGTGTTTTACTGTCGGTGAAGTCCCTACCGGTTGAATATAAAACTGACTTGACCNCCCCCTCGGGGAGAGGCCACGAGTGACTAAGGGGGTGGTACGTGTGCAGGAAGAGCTTACTTGAAGACCTATCCTGTTGGCCACGTGTCCGAGCCATTTTTCGAGGTCAACACAATCAAACAGGCCCTAAATTTCAACCACACATTCTCCAAAAAATACTATTCATTACTCCATTTCTTCTACAATAATGGGAGACAAACACACACTAACTCTATGTGTCAAATACTTTAAAGAGTTCTACAAAAAAATCTATAACCAAAAATCAGAAAAAAATACTAGTTATTCCAAAATTTACTGTTAATACCTTTGAGTCTTCCCCACTATAACATCCTTAATTGAAGTGAAGCTCGGTAAATGGCACATTGCTTCTACCTGTGATTGAATTCCATCAATTTCAAGCCTCTTGAAAAAACATTTCTTTGGATCATAGAAGTACAACCAGAAATTACACAGGACGAGCAGTCCACCTGATGACTTCAAAACTCTTAACACTCGTAAACCAATTGGATCCCATCTTTGTCTTGGATCTCTCACTACAAATTTTCTAGTCTAGGAGGTCTTGATACCATATTCCTCCATCACCCATAAGTCCACAATGTTAGGATTAGGGGTGGGCGCGGATCGTTTCGGTTCGGTTTTTTTTCTGTTTCAGAAATTTTCGAGTATTTAGTAAATGGAACCATCGGTTCCAAATATAATTTTGGAACCGTTCGGGTTCGATTCGGTTCCGAACTATAATTAAATTTTTAAACATTTAAAATAATACTATATAAATACACCTGAAAGTAGATACTAATATTAATAATAAAAAGTCGATATAAATACCAAGTTCAATCTTAACTTTTACAAATTAACGTAATCTAATTTAATAACATATAAATAATAAGTTGTCAAAAACAAATACGAAAAAGTAAATATTGCTAATAAAATTTCGATAATTCATATCAATAATTCATTTGCTTCAAACATTGAAGTCTACATAAAAATGAAATATAAATTAGAAGTAATAAAGATAAAATATTTTAAAGTACTGATAATACTTACCAACTATTTAATGTAATAATCAATTGTTTGACTTTCCAAACTACCTGCTAAGAGACTATACAAGAAAAAATTGAAAAAAACACAACTAACAAATATAAATAAACTCTAAATTGTTCAACTAATAAGATTTAATAAGAAAAAAATTATTAATTTATTTAGAAAAATAAAAGAAATTGATTTATCTAATATAAAAAAAAAATTCGATTCTTATTCAGTTCTTCGGTTCTGGGTCTAGAACCGAGAACCGAACCAAACCATTCGGTTCTCAATTCGGATACCCGTTCGAGTATTTCATTAAAAAAACCCGCGCGATTCGGTTCGATTCTGTTCCGATTCGGTTTGGTTCGGTTCGAACATTTTACTCAGCCCTAGATAGGATATTTGTCTAAGCAACAAGTTAAATAAAGGCAATCTTCCAGTACCCCCGGATTCCCGCAAAACAAACGATTCGTGGAAGGTTTGTAAGTAGGGGGAGGTGGAAGTGCTTGGAACTGTTCGGTTTCAAGATCAAGGCAGCAGATCAATTTAGAGCTCCTTGAATAATCAACAACCCAATGAAGATTCCCATGAAGAAATGTGCCAAAAGATGGAGGAGAGAATAAAAATGGAACATCCCCAATAGACCTCTGTGTATCAGATCCCAATATCCACAGTTTTGCTTCCATTTTATCATCATCAAAACTCAGTTTAGGGACAATTTGAATCAACTTATACTGATTATCCTTTTGACTAAATCCCAATCCACACACCAAAGGAAATGTTTGATCGTTCAAAGAATTAGGAACACTCAAATATTCCCCAATCAAGGGATTCGACACATATATCGGCCCATTGTTTTGACGATCATACATGCACATCAATCCATTACATGATCCCACAAGCTCAATCCCAAAATTAGGAAAATCAGGCGAGTTACCGATCCTCAAAATCGCATCATCACATGGTAATTCAAGCTCAACCAATAAGAGATTTTGCGAATTCCTTTTATAAGACCTATTAGAGTGAAGGAAAAAGCAAGTGGGCACTCTTGAAAAATGCAACTTGGTGAAATGAGGATCAGAGAACAATGACCACCAAACCTTACACGCACAGCGACATTGTACTAGGGATTTCACTGGTAATTTCAGGAAAATCTCAACCATTATATGGCATGGCAATTTCAAAATATACGCCCTAAAATCATCAATTTTATTTCCACCAACACCATTTTCATTTTCAACTTCAATGATTTTTGTATTTTCGCAACTCTTGGCCCGCTTATTTGGATCATTTTCAGTGCCAGCCATCGTACTCTTGAATTCAGAGAAAAACTGGACCGATTTCATATAAAAATAATTGCGTGCAAGAACATCAATACATCATAATAAGTGATGTGAAAATCAACGGCATAATATCTACAAACCTAAAGAAGAGTGAAATTCAATATCGAGCCTGCACGTACGAAAAACTGTGCAGATTTTACCGTGGATTCACAGTAGATGATCAATATCGAGCCTCTCCACATACGAAATGAGGGACATGTTGATGTTTCATGTGTGACCGACTGACCGTCCCTTTTGAGGCATCAAATTTGACCAAATCTTTTATTTCACCCCAGTTGGATTAGCTTTTTGATAAATATTGATGTAATATGCAATTAAAAAGTAGATAAAAGTCACAATGCAATTAAATATGTGATTAAAAATGAGCTTAATAATAAATGAATCTAGCTTTAATTTTGCTCTAAAAACTCAAATTATTTTAGATGTTAACGTTTATTTATATTGAAGAGTTCGTAACTCATTCATCAAAGAAAAATAATTGAATAAATCTAAGTATACAACCATTTGTAGTCAAAATCCTACTATGTGATGTAAAAAACAGTTTTTTGTCAATCAATGTTGTACATGTAGCATGATTCAAGACAATTTTAGGCCTATGATTCTCATTAAAATTAATTTTAATGAGTTGGTAAATTTTTCAACAATAGTTTATCATAATTTTTTTTTTTTCGCAAGAAACGACATTTCTTAGAAAACTTGATTCAGACATGGCACCCGTCCAAATTGCTTTTTAGTTTTTACCTAGGGTAATTATATTACTACAGCAAATTTTACTTACTACACCACATTATAATTACACCACGATTAAAATATGTTTACAGTAAATACGTCACAACAAATTTACAATTATAGTTTTAATCCAATAAAAACTAAAAACACAGTATTACTCCTCATTTCTTCTTCGACCCCTCCCATTCTTTCTGGTTGTTAGATCCCATAGCACACTCAGAATTCCTATCAGATTCTAAGATTTTGTAGTCTCCGCTTCTCAAGCAACAACCTAACAATTGAGGCAAGCAGTATATCTCTCTAGCAAGAGTAGATGCTCCTAGCTTTGTATGATGAACAAATTTGACCAAACTCAGTAACCAACATATCCCTTTTGGCATACCAATGTTCTATGTACTATAATTATATTAACCTGTTTGGAATAGTATTTTATTGGAGAATACGTGGTTAAAAAAAAGGAAAAATTTTCGATTTACATGTAATATTATTTTATGGAAGATTTTGTGGTTGAAAATAAGATAGAGAAAAAAAAGGAGAATGAGAAAGGGGTACAAACAGGGGCTAAGTTATTCGACTGTGTGTATTGAAGAGCTTCCATTATAAGTACTATTGGAATTTGGTTTAGATATGGAAAAGTGACTTTCATGTCAACTTTGCTCAAATATTCGGACTTGATCCGATAATCAAATTGTGAATATAAATAAACTAAATTGTTCTACTTGTCGAGTAGATCATCGTTTTATATTTAGAATCTCAAAACCAATTTCGGATGAATGAAAAATTGTGGTCCAAAATGGGATAGAAAAGAGGAAATACGGGCTGAAAAAATGGCAAACTACAAAGCTCGCTCGAGGGATTGTCTAGCGACAGGCGAGCGAGAGAGGCTTTGATGAAAATGTGTCATTGTCGCTAGAGCGAGAGGCCAACGACAGGCTAGCGACAGTAAGGGATGAGCGCGGTCTAGCGATAGGCGAGCAAGAGATGTTCTGAAGAAAATATGTAATTGTTGCTCGAGCAAGACGCTGCGACAACAAAGGATGAGCGATACTCTAGCGACAGGCAAGCAAGTGAGGCTTTGATGAAAAGGTGTCAATGTTGCTCGAGCGAGATGTCACGACAGGCTAGCGACAGCAAATACTTCATTTCGTGAAGGTTGTTGAGTTTGAGGCATGATACTTCACTCACAACCCTTCTTTTTCTATATATAAGACCATTTGGACGTCCATTATGCAACCCATATCATTTTGCATTGATCATTACATCAAAACTCTTGCAAAATACTCTCTAAAAGTCATTCTAAAACCATTTTTCTTATAGAGGGAAATTTTCATTCCAAGTTCTTTGTTGCTTGTAGTTTGAAGTGCTTCTACTACTAGTTGTATCCGTTGTATCTTTGAAGACGAGTGCTGCGGAATCATTCATCAAACAACAGCACCTTACGTACCCCAATCAAGTGGTGTTGCTGAATGCAAAAATTGAACTCTTAAAGAGATAATGAACTCAATGTGGATAAGTTCGAGTCTACCTTAGAACTTGTGGAGGGAAGCTATTTTATCGACAAATAGCATTCTTAACAAGATACCTCTTTAAAAAATGGAAGAAACTCTGTATAACTATAGAAATGTCATCTTCCTTCTTGCCAATACTTGAAAGTGTGGGGGTGTTTGGATAAGGTTAAAATACCTAAGCCTAAACAAGTGAAAATTGATCATAAGACGATTGGTTGTATATTTATTGGGTACGTCAATAATAGTAGTGCATATTATTTCCTTGTACATAAATTTGAAATTCAATATGTCTATGAATGAATAATACTTGAATCGAGAAATACATCATTCTCCAAGAATATTTTTCCATATAAGAACAAGGAAAATGCAAGTTCAAATAAAAGAACTTATGATACTACAAATGAAACTTTAAATGAGGAAGAACCAAGGCGTAGTAAAATGGGTAGAATATCTACTTTGTTTGGCCCAAATTTTCTAAACCTATATGGTAGAAGATGACCTAAAAACTTTTGATGAAATAATGTTTACACTGGTAGCACCACATGGGAAAGAAGCTATCAATAGTGAGATATATTCTATAATGCAAAATCATACTTAGAAGTTAGTTAATTTACCTCTTGGAAACAAGCCTTTAGAGTGTAAATGGATTTTCAAAAGAAAACTAAAACTGGATGTATCCATTGACAAATATAAGGCTAGATTAATTGTCAAGGGATATAGATAACAAGAAGTACTTAACTTATTTGATACCTACTCACCCATAATTAGAATCACCTTGATAAGGTTGTTAATTGCTATTATAGTATTACATAACTTTGAGATTTATCAAATGGATGTATAGACGGCATTCCTAAATGGTGAGTTATAAGACGAGATATACATGGAACAACCTGAAGGGTTCTCTCTCCTAATCGCAAACAAAAGGTTTGTAAACTAGTTAAATCCTTATATGGATTGAAACAAGCTCCTAAACAATGGCAACAAAATTTTGAGAAAACAATGTTGTCTAATGGGTTTAAGATAAATGAGCGTGACAAGTGTGTATACATTAAACATACACCAAAGGCCTACGTGATTGTATGTCTATATGTAGACGATATATTGATAATGGCCACTAATCATGAAATAATGCTAAACACCAAGAGAATGTTAACAAAACATTTTGACATGAAAGAGTTGGTTGTGACTGATGTAATATTAGAATTTAAGATCTCTAGAGCATTAGAAGAAATTATACTTTCACAATCTCACTTCATTGAAATATACTTAAAAAGTATAATGTATTTGAGGAAAGTCATGCGAAAACCTCTATTGACACAAATTTACACTTATTCAAAAATACGGGTGAATGTGTGTCACAACTAAAGTATTCACATGTTATAGGCAATCTTATGTATATTACAAACTGCACTCGACAGGACATGGCATTTGCTGTGAATAAACTTAGTAGATTCACAAGTAATCTAAGCCACGATCAATGGAAGGCTTTAACAAGGGTTCTCAAGTACTTTAAGTATATATTAACATGTGGATTACACTTCACAAAATATCTTGCGGTATTAGAAGGATATTGTGATGCGAATTGGATATTCGATATAAAAGATTCTAAATCTAGTAGTAGTTATGTATTTACCATTGATGGAGCTGTAATATCATGGAAATCTACAAAGAAAACACATATAGCTTCATCAACGATGGAATTAGAGTTTATTGTTTTGGACAAAGCTGGAGAAGAAGTAAAATGACTTCGTAACTTCTTGGAAGATATTCCATTTTGGCCTACATCGGTACCTACAATTAGTATACATTGTGATAGTTAATTGGCTATTGGAAGGGCTCAAATCAGCATATATAATGGTAAGTCTAGACATATACGTCGTAGACACATACTATTAAACAACTGATCTCTAATAGTATCATCTCTATAGATTATGTGAAATCAAAGGAGAACATCGGTGATCCACTTACTAAAGGTTTACAAGTATGTTGCCTACTACGTAAATATCTTTGTAATGGCAACTTTACCTTGTTGACTGGAGATCCCAAGATCTTGGTTCAAGGGGAAAACTAAGTTATGAATATTCAATAAAAGCACTTGGAAAAATGTATCCTAACTCATTCATGTGATAATTAAAGTGTTCTATGCAGAATATTAATGTTAAGATATCCTTTTAATGATTCATATATCTTGATTAAGTAAAGTGGAGTAGGGCATAATACTCTTAATAGGAGATCACCTATGTAAGTGTGAGGTGGGGTCGCCTCAATGAAAATTATTCAAATGTTGAAATTCTCTAAACACTTATAAAACCCAAGAGCGGTTCAAGGCCAAAATTGACCAAGTCATGAAAACCATGAACGATTTAGGAAATACATCTGTGTGAGTATTATTGTCTTGCTTTACACTAACAGTTGAATGGTTCAAAACATCACGTTCACCAATTAGCCAAGTAAATCCAATATTATTTCACTAAGGAAGGTTCAAGGCCGAAAGCTACCTTACCTGATACAGTGTTTTCTGCTTTCTCTCTACAATGCATCATATTTTTGCATAGCATGAGTATATTCGAATTTTCATTCATGTGGAGGATTGTTGGAATTAGGTTTAGAGAACGGAAATAAAATTTAGTTAAGTATGAAAAAGTGACTTCCATTTCAACTTTAATCAAGTATCCAGACTTGATTCGATAGTCATATTATGAATATAAATTGACTAACTTGTTGTAC